TTTCCACATAAGAAATAATGTAAATACAATTAATCCGTTCCTGACACCCAGAAGTATTAAAACAAAAAAATTTTTTACATGAAATATAGATGTAGTACATAAACAATACAATGGGACATGATGAATGAAACATTATCAGCATAACACTTACCTTTATTGGCGATTCTTCTTAGTGTATGGAAGACTGGAGGAGGAGAGAGATTGGATTATTTACAGTTTGGAAGGGGAATCCCCTTCCATCAACACCTCAGGTTCCAATTGCTTTTCTGGGCTTATGTCTCTTCTCTGTTTCTTAATGCCACTAGGACCAGCTTGAGAGTGACTGGAGTCCTGTCTCGCAAAATAACTGCGCACTTTCATATTGTTCAGTGATGTTTTTATTAAATTCAATCGTATTTCTCACCTTCTTTACCAAAGGCTTGGCACTAGGAGCTTTCTTTGGAGCCATGGTAGCTTATTTAGTACTTGCAAGCACTAAAATGAATGGAATATTATGAAATATTTTGTAGGAGCAAGTGAGGGGACCGTCGCTCACTGGTAAACAATGCCACACTGGCTGTGAAGGGAGGCCGCCCTGGCTCACAGCATGCGTACGCGTCCCGGACGAACTACTATTCGCGAGTCAATCTACGATTAGCGAGCCCATGTTTATACGAAAATATCGCTATGATTTCCGAAATCTACGACTCTCGAGCTCTACGATTATCGTAGAGCTCGAGAGTACTTGTTACAATAACAATACTTGTTACAATAACAAACAATTCTGACCATCACAGACCCACCCTCCCTTCTTACAACTTAATCTAACTTTATCAAATGTTACTTAACAACCAGATTTGCTCTAACTTAACCTTACCTAACAACCTAATATTACCAAATATAACTCAACCAGTAACCATACCATACCTAGCTTAACTAAGCTATCCTAGCTCAGGCCTGGCTTGGTTGGATACTCTTGGCTTGGTTAACGGACTCCAATGGAAATAAGTCACTTTGTCTGACTTTTCTGGGTTACCCCAGGTTCACTACACATATGCTGCTATATATGATAATCTATGTAACTGTATTTGTGTATACCTGAATAAAGTTACTTACCATTTTCCAACAAGTTGTAGCTTTAAAATGACTCTTCTCCAATAAAAGGATGTTCCATGGTGCTGGTGAAAGGTCCTCGGTCCAAGACACTGGACTTATCTTTTCCTTCCACGGATCAGTTAGAAATGCTTCCCATTCCACCTGGGATCTATATGACCCACTTATATATTTGGTAGTTTCTTCTGATTAAAATAAAATAATTATGAATGCTATCAAACTTTAATGGTTAATGTAAAGTTTGAAATGGATTAAACAGTTTTTTGGATATTGGTTGTGTATGTATAAATTTTGTTGAGTTCAATGTAATAACTGGAGAATATATCTTCAGTTCGAATTCAACTTTCAGTGATGATGTGTTTTCATCAAAGAAAACTTTTAGATTTTAAGTTGTGTAAGTTTTAATATGTCAGTTTTATTAATGAAATTGATTTCAGTGAATTAATTTGAGAGCGTCTCTTCTGTTGAGAAATAAGTCAGCGTTAAAAAAATACATATACTTTTATTCAATTCAATTCAATTCAAAGTTTATTCTCTATAAGGATTACAATGCTGAGTTTACAGAAATTTGGTTATTGTGTGGTTTACATGTAGTAAAATTGTGATTACAGAGTGTACCACTAGAACGCTTAGCATGGCTAGGCATTTCGGGCAGAAATTACATTTGTGTGCTACAAATCCAATTTAAAAAAAAGTAATGCTATATACCAGAGTTAAATAAAACTTAACAGATAATTTCTGAGAGCCTCATCGGATGACTTTATATCCTAACATCTCAGAAGCTTTAGATTTAAAACTGATGTATGATCAGATAGTGAACTGAGATAACCAGAGAATGTCTCTTCAGTTTAGTTTCAGAGCTGGTGTTTATTAGTGGAATGATTGAATTAGAGCTGGGCTCTGTTCCCTATTGTGGAAAATTAAATTTACCTGGATGTAACTCATAAGATACATACCAGTAAATGGTAACAAAGATAATTATTCTTTATCAAGGTTACAGAGACAAGTAGGAATTTTAGGACACCTAGGTCACAAAAAAATGTCCCCCTTCGATACCTACCATAATCTATATCTCCACAAGTCACTCTGGACCTATATAAATTTCATATTAATTTCAAATGAAATATACATCACTAGGAATTCTGGTAAAAACATTAATATAAATATGTGGACTGTATATTAAAATTAATAAATGGTTACATATACACATTTAGGTAACAGAAGGAGACTTTATAATAATAAGACTCGCCAATTAGTCTGGAGATTACGGTGTGTCATATCCCCCTGTCTAAATTATGAAGAAAATACTGGCCAGAATCTCAATATAAATAGACATGACTTAGCTGCGGTTCCAAAGCTGTCCTGTCCATCTGCTTAATGCTCACGTTATGCAGGACTGCAAATCCAACAATTTTGGCTCCTATTTGGGAAGTTTCAAACACAATTTAACTTCCAGAGCGACGAAATTTATGCACATTTCATTAGCGTGCCCAGGGCCGGATTAAGAAGTCTCCGGGCCCTAGGCTATTCAGATTGGCGGGGCCCCTTTGAGTTACGGGTAAATGAAGCAACCCCTTCCAGCTTGGGGGGGGGGTCGGTGTGAGCCTGTTTAAGGTCTAATTAAATATATTCTGGCTATTTAGATTAAATTTAATAGGGAAAGTACATCAAGACAACCAAAACCATTTACCAACAGCCATTATAACTATCTTGTTAAATCATGCATTTTAAAGAGAATAAACTCAAGACAGCATAGTATTACTAGATTAAGCTATTAAAGTAGTGACATCATGTACCTGTTATATTCAGCATAACCACTACAGCACTATTATTCCCTTTATAAATCACTGACCATTATTGTTATCATTGCATCATGCATAAGACTATCAAATCATATAAACTCAAGAAAGTAAAGAATTGTTTATATTCACAGGCACTTCTTAAATAAACTTTTTTCTGGATTTCATATTGGCAAAATCATCAATTATATTCTGAAAATCAATATTTCTTGTTAGATCGGACTCAATGGTCAACAAGGCTAGGTTACACAATTTGTCTTGGCTCATTGTTGAACGGAGCTGGTTTTTCACTCTTTTCAAAACAGAAAATGAATGTTCTCCTTCACAGTTAGTAGCTGGAAGTGTTAGGTAAAGGTGATACACTATATCAACATTAGGGAAGGTTTCTGAGATACCTGCATTTCTTAAATGTTTCAAAGCAGCTGAGGGCGCACATTTTTCAGGTGGAGCTTTAATCTGATTCATATACCCAGAAAAATGAACTATTTCTTCAACAAATGTGTCCTGAACATCTGCTGAAAGGTGTTGTTGCAACTTTAATGCAGCTTCTCTCAATTCTGCATCTGGCATAGTAGTAATTTTGAACAGAAATCCAAACTTGTCATTGAGATTCTGGTAGATTTCTTTTCTTTTCACCAATTCTGTAATCAGTGAATCCAGAATGACGAAGTATGTAGCTGTCTTACATTTCTGCCTTGGTAGCAACACAATTTCATTGTCTGGCTCTTCAAAATTGCGTTTCCTCTTCCTTGACCGCTGATGATCAGCCCGGTAACTGTAGTCTTTCACCAGCAGTTTAGCTTTCTCTTCAAACATTTCAAAAGCTTCATCATTGCAAAGTGAGCTTACAAATTCCACTAAGCCTGCATAGAGGTTAGCACAAGTAGCCATTTCAATTTCAATTTTCTGAAGTGTCTTGTTTGTGGCATTTAACCATTCCAGTATACAGTCCCAAAGCACACAGAGTAAGGCCAATTCAAAATCTTCCAACTTTGATGCTAAGCTGGCTGCTTCGCTTCTTGTAGTTGCTGTCTGATCTTCATCCTCTGCTATTTGGATCAAAGCAGAACGTATTTCAGCAAAGCTGTCTTTCAAAGCATGTGTTGCATCATGCTGCGCTGACCACCTTGTAGTTGATAATGATTTGATGACATCTCCATGAATGGTTGACTTGCGTATACTCCACCGATGCGTTGAAGCAGAGAAAAAATTAAAGAGTGCTTGTAAAAGTCCAAAAAATGAAACTGCAGCGACACAACACTCCGCAGCACATGGCCCAACAAGATTAAAAGAATGTGCTGAGCAGGGCACATATTCAGCAAGTGGGTTGATTTGCTTGATTTTATTTTATTTTATTATTTATTTTTGTTTTGATTAATTTTTAAAAATAAATTTTACTCTTCAAACACTTGAACTTTTTAGGTAGGGACCCCTTTGCACTTGCACCATGTGCGCAGTCTTGGATGAGCCCCTGAACCCCTTGGACCGCAGGGCCCCCAAATGCGCGGGGCCCTAGGCAAATGCCTAGTTTGCCTATGAGGTAATCCGGCCTTGAGCGTGCCTGTACCACATTCAAAACAATGGTGTCTCCCCCCTGCTCGTCAGTGCAGGCGCAGAGCTTCCCTGTTGGTTCACTTCTTTAAAATACACTTTAGAGCAATAGTAATGTATTAATCAGGTATATTTACATTATAAAAAATATACAGCATAATTTTGGGAAATTATTTTCCACACCTATGATGATCTGTCAATGTCTCTTCTGACTCGTTTCAAAATTTAAGTGCATTATAACGTATACTGCAAAATGAATAGTTATGCAATATTGGGATACCTTTCCTAGATCGTACTGTTACAAAAATATGTCTAGTTTGTTTACATAGTACAAGGAATCCAGAGATCAGGCGCTTGATATGTGACACCAATTCACAGCATTTACCAGTCACACAGCTTGAATTCTGTAGTTATAGTTAGAAAATTAGTAAGATGATCAATGCAAGGGGAAGGCAAGTGATAGTTTCAATGAGCATTGTGTGACTACCTTAAGGTTGTTGGCTCATAACATAAATAAATGTTTGATGTTTTATTAATTCTATACGTGCAAATTTTCAGGCACGTGATGAATTCCGAGTGGTATTAAGTGAGGCTCTTGAGTTTGGATATCGTCACATTGACACTGCAACCATGTACGAGAATGAACATATTATTGGTGAAGAATTGGATAAGTTGTTTAGCAGCAGAAAACTAAAGAGAGAAGATGTCTTCATCACTGCCAAGGTGAGCATCAATGGATACTGAAGACATGGTTAATACATCTTGTATAAACTCCTTACTGATGACAATTTCTCTCCATTTTTGGACTTTCCCTATTTGTCGTTTAAAATTGAAAAAGATATATATTTGGTAGTTATATATTTATTCAGATAAATATTAAATATAAGTAATTTAACAGAACTGGTTTCCTTTGTTGAATGCACTGACAAAAATGAGCATTTGGAAAAATAAATACATAAGCAGTATAATGTGACTATTGACAATGTTTTGCCCACACAGTGGGCTTCATCAAGTCACAAACAGATGTACTTGGGTGAAACAATGCCTTCTATAACATAACTGAGCCCCTTGCCAAGAAACTTCTTCATCATTATCCCACGTAACTACACACACACCCGCCAGTCCCATCCAGGTCCTTATGAAATCCAGCTTACCTAGCATTCTCCACCTGACACCGTCCTCTAAATACTCACGTACCTTTCACCCAGGTAGATCTGTTTGTGACTTGATAAAGCCTGCTGTGTGAGTGAAACATTGTCTATAAAGGATCACATTGTACTGCTTATGTGTTTATTTTTCCATTGTGTCAGTATTTTATACCATTTATTTCCAAAAATGAGAATTTGCTTCATGGTAGATTAATAGGATTTAGAGTTTGTCGACTTTAACCCTTAAGTTGTTGGTCAGGTAGATCTATGTGAGTGGGTTCAGTGTCCGTGCTGTAGATCTACGAAAGGACTGGTAGACTTAGGCATCAGAAAATGGATGTGCATGTTTCCTGTGCATGGTAAACAAATAAACGCAGACCTCGTAGTGCATCATGGGAGAACAGCATGCTAGTCCACCGTGGCACACTTCCATTCTCTTATTTTCATTCTTTTTGCATCAGACCATGAGGAGAATCATTCAGGAATAGAGTTCTATGGATTCGAGATGTAGATAATCAAAAATGAAGAGAAAAATTATGAGAATGGTGCCGACTCACGACCCTTTATCTCTGGCCTCAGCACATCCTTTACACATCCACAGAATAAGTAAAAATCTAACATTCTTTCGTAGTTCAGGTGCTGATATGGGTAGTAATGATGACTTAATAGCCAGTGGTGATAATACAAGTGATTGTGAGTCAGTGGACCCCTGACTTAAATGGCCTCAACCAACTTATGATGCTTGTCAGCGTAAAAATTTGACCCCGACCTACGTTGAAAAACTCGACTTACATCATTTATCCTGAATGCGGCTGTCTGGCCTGAGCACCTCAGCTGAGCTAGTGTGACATTGTTTACAAGTTAGGGTGGACGGTTGCACGCATACATTCGATAAATTTTGTATTATTCCAGTGTTTTTAGTGCTTGTAACTGCTAAATAAGCCACCATGGGTTATCGAGAATACCGAGAAATAATTAACCCCAGAGGGTTAGCCACCCAGGATAACCCAAGAAAGTCAGTGTGTCATCGAAGACTGTCTAACTTATTTCCATTGGGATCCTTAATCTTGTCCCCCAGGATGCGACCCACACCAATCGACTAACACCCAGGTGAACAGGAAAAAATGCCTGGAACTAGTGCTCATATTGGTGAATTTAAGGCCAGCAAAGGATGGCTTGAGAGATTTAAGAATCATAGTGACATACACAGTGTGATAAGGCCTGTTCTGGAAGAAAATGCCAAACAGGACCTACATTACTCAGGAGGAAAAGATACTCCCAGGACACAGTGTCTCATCACTCATCACCACATCTTCAATAAAGGTTAGTGTCATTTATTCTTCATTTAGTACACTAGTACATGCACAATATACAGTGGACCCCCGGTTAACGATATTTTTCACTCCAGAAGTATGTTCAGGTGCCAGTACTGACCGAATTTGTTCCCGTAAGAAATATTGTGAAGTAGATTAGTCCATTTCAGACCCCCAAACATACACGTACAAACGCACTTACATAAATACACTTACATAATTGGTCGCATTCAGAGGTAATCGTTATGCGGGGGTCCACTGTATATTGCACATGTATCCTTCTTTTTGTGTGTAGGAAAATGTATATTTCATGTGGTAAAATTTTTTTTTCATACTTTTGGGTGTCTTGAACGGATTAATTTGATTTCCATTATTTCTCATGGGGAAAATTAATTCGACTTACGATAATTTCATCTTACAATGTGCTCTCTGGAATGATTAATATCATAAGTCAGTGTGTCATCGAGGACTGTCTAACTTATTTCCATTGGGCTCCTCAATCTTGTCCCCCAGGATGCGACCCACACCAGTCGACTAACACCCAGGTACCTATTTACTGCTAGGTGAACAGGACAACAGGTATAAGGAAACGCATTGAAATATTTCCACCTGCTGGAAATTGAACCCGGGCCCTCCATGTGTGAAGCGGGAGCTTTAGCCACCAGGCCACCACAGAAGCCAACACCAGCTACATATATCCATTATTATGGTGTGGCAGTAGCCATGGGTAGTTGTCCACGGACAGTGCTAGTGAGACAATGGAGTGTATATTGGAACAAAGATGCTTGTGGCACCTGCACCAACCCTAAGATGGACTAATGCCTCAACTCCACATCCCCACCGCCCTTGGCGGTGTCCATCCCAAACACAGCTATCACACTTGTCACTACCATCACTACCAGTCCCTCGACAAAGGCCACCAGACTACCTCTGGGATTGGGAAGATGCAACATTTGTGCCAACTCCCCCCATTAATCTAACCACACATGTATTGGAATCTTTCCAAATATTATAGTGACCAGTGACCCAGATGATTTCTCTGGCCTGCATTTTAATGAAGCATTAATGGAAATTGTATTGGTGTAACAGTACACAATGGCAAACGTATGTTTTAACATAGTCGTGACGTTACCAATGGTTAGATGGAAAGACACTACTGTGGATGAGATGTATTTTTTATACCATCGCAAGTATACTTATGCCACATGCTTATGTGGCAAAATATTGGTTGACAGACTTACTAATATGTACTCTGGTGTTCAGTGATTTCATTCCTATCAATAAATTTTGTTGCTGTGTATGTTACACAGGTCAAACAAAGGTTAACCTCGCCAAGAACAACATGCAAAATTATGGATATTTTTATGTGCCTGAAAAATAAGTTCATTGAATTACTTTATTCTTTTCAGACCCTTGTGATTGGAGTCTTTGATCCTTTTCAAAAGTAGAATATCGTTCAAGCATTACTTACCTAACAAAAGTAGTTTTTCTGGCATCAAACTGTTTGTTTTCGTGAGATGTGAGAATGGGATGGTAGTAGATCAGATTGTGTACACAGGAAAGAAAACATTGGAAAACACCAGCACATTATTAGGAATCTGGTGATGTATTGAGGAAAATGATGGAACCATATCTTGGTAAAGGGCAAACACAGTTTACTGATGCAAGCCTTTTTACTCAATGATACATTGTTACTGAACAATTAAGTTGTGTGTGGTACAGTGAATGGAACAACTTAGTATACTTAAGTTCAACGCAGGTATTGGTGGTGATGAAGAAGAAGTGCAAGTGTTTCATGTCCTTCACCTCATGGTATGTCAGTGGCATGGCAGACGTGATGTGCCAGTGTTCATATCCATCCACCAGTAGCATAAACAAATTGCTCTTTCCCAAGTTTCAGCAAAAACTCTCACAATTTCTGAGTCAAAGAAAGTTCTGTAAATAAGCAATCATTCAAGGATGGTTGGTAAGGATTGGCTTGTGAATTACAGTTAAATATTACTGTGATGAGTGTGTTATTAGAAACCTTGGTAATTATCATATAGAGTAGGCAATGAATGTTCTCAGCAGGTCTGGTCTTGGGGACTTTCCTAAGGTCAACTGTTCTTTGATAACATTATTTTATCTGCCAGTGAGCCCCCTTTCTGATCAAATTATTTATTAGCAAATTCTGTTGTTACAATGTTTTCTTAAAATTGTTAGATAACACTGGATGGATAATCGGGTTTCCAAGGCCGATCACATCCGCTATTGACCAACCTTGAAGATAAAGATAAAGATTTCATTTGTTTGCAATGTTTTCCTTGTGTGATTACAATTTTGATTTGTTAAGTACAAAGAAAGTCACTATCCTATACAAATGAAGGTGAAGTGTCACAGAGCTGCTGAGTGGGACCAATATATTGGAAATGCGAAGGGAGGCACTAGTCAATGAAATTGCAAATATTGAACTTAGGCTGAAGGAATCTTACAGGAGACAAGAATCACAGGAAGAACTAAAAGCCATAAAAGAAATTGAAAAATCCCAAAATACTTCTTCTCTTATGCAAAATCTAAGGAAAAAACAACATCCAATATTGGGCCCTTGCTTAGGCGGGATTGGACATACACAGATGACAGCCAAGAAATGAGTGAGATGCTAAAGTCCCAATATGACTCAGTGTTCAGCGAGCCACTGCCTGGACTAAGAGTTGACAACCCAGATGAATTCTTTATGAATGAAGCCCAAAATTTGGACATAACAAAAATCTTGGATATTATCCTAACTCCACAAGACTTTGAAGAGGAAATAAATGACATGCCCATGCACTCTGCCCCAGGCCCAGACTCATGGAACTCTGTGTTCATCAAGAACTGCAAGAAGCCCCTATCATGTGCCTTCAACATTTTATGGAGAGGGAGCATAGACACAGGGGTCATCCCACACACACAAAAAAAACAACAGACATAGCCCCACTCCACAAAGGTGGCAGTAAAGCAATTGCAAAGAACTACAGACCGATAGCACTAACATCCCATATCATAAAAATCTTTGAGAAAGTTCTAAGAAGCAAGATCGCCAACCACCTAGATACTCATCAATTACACAACCCAGGGCAACACGGGTTTAGAGCAGGTTGCTCCTGCCTGTCCCAGCTACTGGACCACTATGACAAGGTCCTGGATGCTGTAGAGGATAAACAAAATACAGATGTAGTATACACAGACTTTGCAAAAGCTTTCGACAAGTGTGACCATGGTGTAATAGCACACAAAATGTGTGATAGAGGAATAACAGGAAAAGTTGGTACAGTAGATGGATCTATAACTTCCTGACATATAGAACACACAGAGTAATAGTAAACAGAGTAAAGTCCCAGGCAGCCATTGTAAAAAGCTCTGTTCCACAAGGCACAGTACTTGCTCCCATTCTATTCTTCATCCTCATTTCTGACATAGAGATGTAATTCATAGCTCCGTGTCTTTCTTTACGGATGACACCCGGATTACCATGGCAGTGACTTCCATCGAAGACACCATGAGACTCCAAGCGGACATCAACCATATCTTCGAATGGGCCACTCAAAAAATAATATGAAGTTCAACGAGGAGGAATTTCAACTACTCAGATATAGGAAGCTTGAGGAAATTAAAAATGTATCAGGGTATACAACAAATTCTAACCACACAATAGAGCGGAAAAGTAATGTGAAGGACTTGGGAGTGATAATGTCAGTGGACCTCGCCTTCAAAGACCACAACAATGTATCTACCTCATCTGCTAGAAAAATGGTAGGATGGATAATGAGAACCTTCAAAACTAGGGATGCCAAGCCCATGATGATTCTTTTCAAATAGCTTGTGCTCTCTAGGCTGGAATACTGCTGTACACTAATGGCCCCCTTCAAGGCTGGTGTCATTGCAGACCTGGAGAGTGCACAAAAAACTTTCATGGCACATATAAGCACGATAAGGCACCTAAATTACTGGGAACGGTTGAAGGTCCTTGATCTGTATTCCCTGAAATGCAGGCGAGAAAGATACATGCTAATATACACTTGGAAGGTCCTGGACAGTGATGGAGTGAATGATGGTGAAAGTTTTTCTTTTTCGGGCCACCCTGCCTTGGTGGGAATCGGCCAGTGTGATAATAAATAAAATAATAATAAATAAGGTCCTGGAGGGATTAGTACCAAACCTGCACACGAAAATCACTCCCTATGAAAGCAAAAGACTTGGCAGGAGATGCAACATTTTCCCCAGTGAGAAGCAGGGGCGCAACAAGTACATTGAGAGACAACACAATAAGTGTCCAGGGTCCAAGACTGTTCAACTGCCTTGCAGCCTACATAAGGGGGATTACCAATAAACCCCTGGCCGTCTTTAAGAAAGCACTGAACAGGCACCTAAAGTCAGTACCTGACCACCCGGGCTGTGGTTTGTACATCAGTTTGCATGCGGCCAGTAATAACAGCCTGGTTAATCAGAACCTGATCCACCATGAGGCCTGGTCTCAGACTGAGCTGCAGGAGTGTTGACCCCCGAATCCCTCTCCAGGTAAACTCCTGGTAATCATGCCGGGGCATTTCGGGCAAACTAAACCTAATGCTTACAGACTACTTAATACTAGAGATATTGAGAGCAGTAGATTTTTATTATACATCGTTTTTCTTATTACATTAATGAAATTGAAACAATTTTCAGTTTGAAGTAATGCTTAAATAATTGAGAAATTGTAAGTTATTTAGGAGTTTCTTTTGAGTTACTGGTAGGTGATAAAGTATAGTCTCATTAGCCACTGGGCCAGCTAGCTTCAATAAGATTCATTCAACTTGGTATATCTCTACATCATAGGAAGGTTAATTCTGAATGATGAAGTGATTTCTCAGTAGGGCCTTAAATTGATTTGCAAGCAGCAGGGGTCCTTTTGTATGTTCCAGATCTTCGGGCCCTTCATGTGCATAGCACTTTTGCATAGGGAGAAAGGGACATGAGGGATATCAAAGAGTGCTTTGAGACTTGTGTTATGCCTCTACTTTCTGTTGTAGTTATCAAGGAGGAGTTTGAGAAGAGGGTTAATATTGGAGTATAATGTTCTGTGTATGTAGTATGCACAATAATATGTGTGGATGCTTTGAATTAGTAATCAATTGCACAGCAGATTTCTGCTGAGTTATTAAAGGCTTTAGGTGATTTGATGTGGTTGAACCCCATGCACAAATACCATAGGTGAGGTAAAGGTAGATGAGAGAATGGTAAAGAGCAAGAAGTGCCATTTGGGGTACATAGTTCCGTATCTTAGAAAGGATGCCTACTGTTTTGGAGGAATTCTTGGATATTTGCTATATGTGGGTCTAAAATTTATGACAGAACGCAAGTTGGAGACCTAGAAATTTGCCCTCCGTGTGTCTTGAAATGGGGGAACCATTTATCGAAATGTTAAACTGAACATTTGGAGCTCTGTTTCCAGACAGCATGAAACAGGTTCTGTCTATATTGAGAGTAAGTTTGTTGGTCATCTTCCAAGTTGATATTTTTAGTAGTTCGTCATTTATATTGTCTGTTAGTAAGGTTGAATTTACGCGAGAGAAGACATAAGTAGCATTATCTGCAAATGAAACAGGTTCAAGGCCCGGTCTGTGACCAGTCTGTGGTCAGTATACATCAGTATTCCAGCCTGGATCAAGGATCAATTTTAGGCCCATTGTTATTCATAATTTACATTAATGACCTTGATGAAGGAATTACAAGTGACATGAACAAATTTGCTTATGATACAAAGTTAGGCCGTACCTCATGTATATTATAGTTTACCAACTCTTACGTACTTTATGGTTCATACTTCATGTATCTTCAATGCATATCACTTATATGCTGTCGCTGACATTCATTCGCCCTCCATTCTAACCTCATATCTTAACCATCTCTCTCATTCATCTGCCCTCCATTTTAGCCACACACATTAGCCCTCTCAGAATACTTATATATTTTCATCTGTATCATACAATTATGTTTAGCTGCCATATTTCACTTTATATTTATTAGTGTTTTATTCTGATGCATTGCTTTTTTGTGGTAATACAACAATTATTTGGTACAATAATGTGTTTACAAATTTTCCAGCTACCTATGATTGGAAATCGAGAGGAGAATGTACCAAGATTTCTACAGAAATCATTAGATAAGTTGCGGCTGACTTATGTCGATCTGTACCTATTTCACTTTCCATGTGGCATGAAAGGTAAGCAGCATGAATAATGTTAATGATAATATGGATGTTGCTTCGTGTTTTCCTCATTAGTAAATATGACATTGATTGATAGAATTACCGACAGTATGTTATGTAAAAGGACACAAATGCAACTTCTTCTCTCAACAAACTGGCAGTTTCCCACCGAGGCAGGGTGGCCTAAAAAGAAAACCGAAAGTTTTTCTTTAAATTTAGTAATGTATACAGGAGAAGGGATTATTAGTCCTTTGCTCCCGGCATTTTACTCACCTCTTACGACACGCATTGCTTACAGAGGAAGAATTCTGTTCTGTTTATTGTAGCAACGACTTGACAAAGCTCCTGAAGCGTGAAACTTTGCCACAATAAAATGTCGCATTAGTTGCATTTGTGTCCTTTTATTTAGCATGACACTGATTGCTGATGAGCCTTTATTGGTACTACATTCTGCTACAATTTGACTGTATCATGTACATAAAATGGAACAAAAAATTATATCTTTTAAAATGCATCCAGGATGGATAGTCGGGTGCTGAGCGAGTGATGTCTGAGTCAAGAGGAAGTAAGAAAACCACTTTTTTGTTTAATTGTGCTAACGGGGACAACAGAAAAGGATTCAGGTACTTGCATCTGTCTCATACCATGAGGTGAAAGTAGGGATCTTGGTGCTGGACACATTTATGTTCTTTCAAGCTTATTGGAAAACTTATGACAATGGTTTCTCTGATGTAGACCTGATTACACCCTCTATTGTATCTAGTATATGATAAACGTCCACATCATCTTGTTCAGCTTTAGTCTCTCATGGTCCAGGATAGAACAACTGTGTTGGTGGGGAGCATTATGTATCTGTGCTTTATGTAAATATGTACATGTATTATGTGCTGGTTAGCGGCCCTGTTGTGTATTATACATGTATTATCTTTTTGCTTACAATGGAATTTTACGTGGCAAGAATACTTGAGATCGAGAAAAGTATTTTCTATTTTCTTTTGTTTTAGTGGAAGAAGTTCTTCATTACTGCAAATTCTAAGCGCCTGCAAGGGGCTGATTACTACATATTTCCTGGTCTGTTGATCGAGATATAATTCTTCTGTTTCTTTTTCCAAAGTAGACTGAATTGATGATTCAGTCTGGTTTAACTGGTCTCTGAAATTTTGCAAGCTAAACAATCTGGGAACAGTAATAAGGATGTTCAAGTACCTGGGCAAAGCAATTTTCTGGTATGATTTTATTCAGTGTTTTTCTTAATGTTTCAAGTGAATTATAGCCAAAACTGCACTTAATAGACCCCAATGCGAAGCCAAATCTTTGTTCTTTTGAGAACGAAAGGAAAACAAATTGAAGCTCACTCATGCTTTTATTGAATGAAGGAAATATGGAATGGGTATGGTGAACCAAAAATTGGAAGGTGTCGTGGCATAGAAAAGGATGATTTGGTCAGGGGACACCTTACATTAAGAGTAGTAATGTCTAGGCTATTCTCTTATTTCTGACACCAATATCTTCTAATCTTGATACTAAATCCTACAAATGGTGAAGGTAGAATCCTTATGCCTAATAACTTGGATAGACTTTTCCCAATATGTTTCCTAATTGGTAAGAAATAGGTAGTGCCTCACACCAAATAGCTGGCATACTTGTGAATAGTCTTATTCCAATTATTAGAAATAATGTTAAAGCTTTTCACATGAGTCCTTGTTGACCAAGTCACTGCCTTTGTATACTACAGGATGTAAATAAGACACAGAATGTTAGTTATGGCATTTTATTGTCATGAAGTTTTGTTAACCAGGGACTTAAGGAATTGTCCTGAATTGTTAAATCCTTATGGGCGAAACGCCTTCTCAATAAAATGACATAACCCACATTTTGTGTCTTATATACAACCTGTTGTTATATTCTACATTAATAACAATAGAAAATATGGTAGCTATTTTCTGATATACCATTTTTTTAGGTAAGGATGACGATGACATTTCTCCTAAGGACAATGATGGTAATGCTGTTCTTGACGTGAACACCAACCTTGAGGGAGTCTGGAGAGCCATGGAGGCTCAGGTTTGTACTCACACTTATTTTACCACCTTTAATAATTTTTTTTTTTTTAATTTCTGTAGATATTATAAAGGTTAATAATAGTAATGCAGTTAAGTAAAAGGACACAAGTGCAATAAATCGACATTTTATTGCAGCAATGTTTCATTATGAGAGAAGCTGTGGCTGGTGACACACCTGCACTATTCTACTCTGAGAACACTCCCCCTGCTTTACTTGCTCTCTTGCAACATTACATAGCTCCTGATGATGCACTGAGAAGTGTGAAACTACTCGAGTTAAAGATTTCCATCCCCCCATCCTCCTGTGGCTTGTCTTGCATAGTTAAGATTGCGTGTGTGCTATTGTTTGCATATTTTTTTTTTTTTCAACAAACTGGCCGAATCCCACCAAGACAGGGTGGCCCAAAAAGAAAAACAAAAGTTTCTCTTTTTAAATTTAGTAATTTATACAGGAGAAGGGGTTACTAGGCCCTTGCTCCCGGCATTTTAGTCGCCTCTTACGACACGCATGGCTTATGGAGGAAGAATTCTGTTCCACTTCCCCATGGAGATAAGAGGAAATAAACAGGAACAAGAACTAGAAAGAAAATAGAAGAAAACCCAGAGGGGTGTGTGTATATATGCTTGTACATGTATGTGTAGTGTGACCTAAGCGTAAGAAGAAGTAGCAAGATGTACGTGTAATCTTGCATGCTTATGAGACAGACAAAAGACACCAGCAATCCTACCATCATGTAAAACAATTACAGGCTTTCGTTTCACACTCACTTGGCAGGATGGTAGTACCTCCCTGGGCGGATGCTGTCTACCACAAGTTTTTCCAGATATGAGCAGCTGCTCAGTTGATTTTTTGCTTCCAGACGCAAGCAAAATTTCCAGATGCGAGTGGGCCTCAAGGGAGGTTAATTGACACTGGTGAGGGGGCTCTTGCTCTTGATCTAGGGAATTGGATCTCAGTTGTTTGTTGGACTATCTTATTGAAACTTGGGCAATGTATGCTGAAAAGATGCTTCTTAACGTACACCAAAAATGAAAGAAATTGGACACTAAATAACAGAGTTCACTTCTCAGCCATTAACCTCCCCTTAGCGGTATATTTTCGTATGGTTTTTATGGTTGTATTCTCATTTTATTTGGTCTCATGTGATAGAATGGAAGATATACTACAAAAACAAATATGATTTTAATTGGTTTCACGATAAAAAGTACCTTGAAATTGAGCTCAAAATAGCAGAAATGTTCGATTCTTTGGTGGCATCAGTGGTAGACATCATGAGGTAGCAGTGGCAGACAACATGAAGCAGCAGTGGCAGACAACATGAAGCAGCAGTGGCAGACATCATGAGGTAGCAGTGACAGACAACATGAAGCAGCAGTGGCAGACAACATGAAGCAGCAGTGGCAGACAACATGAAGCAACAGTGGCAGACAACATGAAGCAGCAGTGGCAGACAACATGAAGCAGCAGTGGCAGACAACATGAAGCAGCAGTGGCAGACATCATGAGGTAGCAGTAGCAGACATGAAGTAGCAGTGGCAGACAACATGAAGCAGCAGTGAGAGACAACATGAAGCAGCAGTGGTAGACATCATGAGGTAGCAGTGGCAGACAACATGAAGCAACAGTGGCAGACAATATGAGGTAGCAGTGGCAGACAACATGAAGCAGCAGTGGCAGACATCATGAGGTAGCAGTGGCAGACAATATGAAGTAGCAGTGGCAGACAACATGAAGCAGCAGTGACAGACAACATGAAGCAGCAGTGGCAGACATCATGAGGTAGCAGTGGCAGACAATATGAGGTAGCAGTGGCAGACAACATGAAGCAGCAGTGACAGACAACATGAAGCAGCAGTGGCAGACATCATGAGGTAGCAGTGGCAGACAATATGAAGTAGCAGTGGCAGACAACATGAAGCAGCAGTGGCAGACAACATGAAGCAACAGTGGCAGACAACATGAAGCAACAGTGGCAGGCAATATGAGGTAGCAGTGGCAGACAATATGAAGTAGCAGTGGCAGACAACATGAAGCAACAGTGACAGACAATATGAGGTAGCAGTTGCAGACAACATGAAGCAGAAGTGGCAGACATCATGAGGGAGCTGTGGCAAAGTGTAGTATTAAGAGTGTAGCAATTAAGTGTATTATTATTATTATAATCAAAAAGAAGCGCTAAGCCTGCAATTAAGTGTAGCATTAAGAGTTGAGCAATTAAGTGAAGCATTAAGAGTGTATCACTTATAAGTCACTCTGACTTTTTTGGGTTATCCTAGGTTCTCTACACATGTAGTCAGGAGTAGGAATGGCCGCTGTGGTGGCCCTATAAACCCCAACAACAATGGCTGCTGTCACCACCACTAGCCACATACCTAATGACATGTATTTTATTCATTCTAGTGTATATGTCATATTTCTATGTTATTAATATTGTTTACTATATCATATTACATGAATTGTGTAGAGTTGATATTAGGGAAATTATTAAAGTATTTTCTCGTGCCTGGAATTCCACTGGAACGAATTAATTCCATTTCAGTTAATTTAAATGAGGAAAAGTGACTTTACGAATGAGCAAATCCAGTTGTGAGCAAGGTCATGGAACGGATTAAACTTGTAAGTAGAGGCTCCACTGTATATATAGTGTTGGAGTGGTTGGTATTTTTGTTTAATAAATGTATGAAAGAGGGGAAGGTACCTAGGGATTGGCGGAGAGCGTGTATAGTCCCCTTATATACAGGGAAGGGGGACAAAAGAGATTGTAAAATATATAGAGGAATAAGTTTACTGAGTATACCAGGAAAAGTGTACTGTAGGGTTATTATTGAAAGAATTAGAGGTAAGGCAGAATGTAGGATTGTGGATGAGCAAGGAGGTTTCAGAGTGGATAGGGGATGTGTAGATCAAGTGTTTACATTGAAGCATATATGTGAACAGTATTTAGATAAAGGTAGGGAAGTTTTTATTGCATTTATGGATTTAGAAAAGGCATATGATAGAGTGGATAGGGGAGCAATGTGGCAGATGTTGCAAGTATGTATATGGAATAAGTGGTAAGTTACTAAATGCTGTAAAGAGTTTTTATGAGGATAGTGAGGCTCAGGTTAGGGTGTGTAGAAGAGAGGGAGAATACTTCCTGGTAAAAGTAGGTCTTAGACAGGGATGTGAAATGTCACCATGGTTGTTTAATATGTTTATAGATGGGGTTGTAAAAGAAGTAAATGCTAGGGTGTTCGGGAGAGGGGTGGGATTAAATTATGGGGAATTAAATACAAAATGGGAAGTGACAGTTACTTTTTGCTGATGATACTGTGCTTATAGGAGATTCTAAAGAAAAATTGCAAAGGTTAGTGGATGAGTTTGGGAGTGTGTGTAAAGGTAGAAAGTTGAAAGTGAACATAGAAAAGAGTAAGGTGATGAGGGTATCAAATGATATAGATAAAGAAAAATTGGATATCAAATTGGGGAGGAGGAGTATGGAAGAAGTGAATGTTTTCAGATACTTGGGAGTTGACGTGTCAGTGGATGGATTTATGAAGGATGAGGTTAATCATAGAAATGATGAGGGAAAAAAGGTGAGTGGTGCGTTGAGGTATAAGTGGAGTCAAAAAACGTTATCTGTGGAGGCAAAGAAGGGAATGTATGAAAGTATAGTAGTGCCAACACTCTTATATGGGTGTGAAGCTTGGGTTGTGAATGCAGCAGCGAGAAGGCGGTTGGAGGCAGTGGATTATTATTATTATAATCAAGGGGGAAGCGCTAAACCCGGAGGATTATACAGCGTCTGGGGGGGGGATGTGGAAGGCATTCAGGCTTAATTCGGGGAACTGGAGCACAGATCCAATTCCCTAAATCAAGAGCCCCTCACCAACATCAAGGAACCTTCCTTGAGGGGTGGAGGCAGTGGAGATGTCCTGTCTAAGGGCAATGTGTGGTGTAAATATTATGCAGAAAATTCGGAGTGTGGAAATTAGGAGAAGGTGTGGAGTTAATAAAAGTATTAGTCAGAGGGCTGAAGAGGGGGTTGTTGAGGTGGTTTGGTCATTTAGAGAGAATGGATCAAAGTAGAATGACATGGAGAGCATTTAAATCTGTAGGAGAAGAAAGGCGGGGTAGGGGTCGTCCTCGAAAAGGTTGGAAGGAAGGGGTAAGGGAGGTTTTGTGGGCAAGGGGCTTGGACTTCCAGCAGGCGTGCATGAGCGAGTTCGATAGTGAATGGAGACGAATGGTATTTGGGACCTGAAGATCTGTTGGAGTGTGAGCAGGGTAATATTTAGTGAAGGGATTCAGATTATTATTATTATAATAATCAAGGGGGAAGCGCTAAACCCAGAGGATTATACAGCGCCTGGGGGGGGGGGGATGTGGAAGGCATTCAGGCTTAATTTGGGAAACTGGAGCACAGATCCAATTCCCTAAATCAAGAGCCCCTCACCAACATCAAGGAACCTTCCTTGAGGGGAAAGGGATTCAGAGAAACCGGTTATTTTTATTTAGCTGGACTTGAGTCCTGGAAATGGGAAGTACAATGCCTGCACTCTAAAGGAGTGGTTCGGGATATTAGCAGTTTGGAGGGATATGTGTATCTTTATATGTACTATATGCTTCTAAACTGTTGTGTTCTGAGCACCCCTGCAAAAACAGTGATTATGTGTGAGTGAGGTGAAGTGTTGAATGATGATGAAAGTATTTTCTTTTTGAGGATTTTCTTTCTCTTTGGGTCACCCTGCCTCGGTGGAGACGGCCGACTTGTTGAGAAAAAAAAAAACAACCTTGAAAATATATATATATATATATATATATATATATATATATATATATATATATATATATATATATATATATATATATATTATATATATATATTTAGGGAAGTACCACCACTATAGCTGGAATGGGGACCCTCATCCTCAGAGAAGACAATAAACGTACCTCAGGCTAAACTCAAGGTTCTCCCCGGAGCTGTTTGAATATTTTCTTCTCCTATCACCCCCTATATA